ATACATATATAGAATTATATATAATTAATTGTTTAATTTAATTGAAATAGAATACTTTGAATTCTTGATTTTTTATTATTTGGATGAAAACAATAAACCTTTTGTCAGTCACTGGGAGATTTTTTTATATTCTATATTTTATATATATTGGGATGTGTAAAAATACACAGTTTAAATTGTATTTATCTTTTAATTTCGGGGTGTGTATAGTGAATCTGTGTATCTATGTGTCTATCTGTGTGTTTGGTTGACTTGGGAAGCAGCATCACCACCAAAGTGAACTGCAGATAACCTCATGACGTTGCAGACATGGTATGCAACCCTATATAAAATTGACGGTGGCCGCATGTATCTGGTGGTGGTCTGCGTCGCTTGATAAGGCTTTGCAGACTATCTGACTTCAGTCTAGATGAAGGATGAGCTTCTCAGGCACAGACGTTGTCCATCCTGCTGATGCTCCCTCGTCTCATCGTAAACTCTTGTGCACCCTCTGGTGCTTGCTAGTCTCCCAAACTTCTTTGTGTAGCCTGCTTTGCAGATTGTCTTCCTTGTCTGTGTGGTTGCTCATTATTCAGAGACAGACGGATCTCAGGTCATCTGCAGCTGCAGCAAAGGAGAAGCAGGAAAGATGGCGATCATCCACTAGACCGACCGAGCGCACGCATGAAATACGGAGGACAACTTTTGGGAGGATCGCTTGAGGAGAAGATTGTACCAGTGAGTTTTTTGTGTGTGTGCTCTTGCTCTATATTTCCAGTTTCGTCAAGATTTCGGCTGAGCTTTCAAGGTCTGCGAGAACGTCGGTATGGTAGATCATGGGATATAATTTGGAGAGCGCCTCGTGAATGACCTGGAAAGAGCTGATCTCCCCTCGTTTCTCCCCCTTTTTTTTGTAGTCGAGGTCCATGCTACCACTGAGAAGGAAGTCGGGGCGAGATTTTCTCCTCTCTCTCTCTTTTTTAATCGGGTGGTCGCTCTTGCTGGCACCCGTGCAGCCAAAGTCAAGTGGGTCTTCTCGCTTCCCAGTTAATATCCTAACCAGCCTAGCGCTTCCTCGCTATGTCGCCTTTCGGTTTGTTGTCAAAGTGACACAAGGAAATGGACGCGGCGGTGTAAAGAGGCTCGCCTGCGTGTTTCGGCAGCACCGGAGCGCCAGTGTTTTGTTATTCTGACATGTCTGGTCAGGGGAATTATTGGCCCCGGCTGTGCACCCCCCCTCTCTTCGGCCGTGCGTGTTGTTGCGCGTTAGCTTCATGGAGAAGCCATTGCACGGATTGCTCTCCTTTACCAACCAGCCTCCATTAGCGACACAGTGGAGCTGGCATAGCCGCTGGTCCAGTCTCACACACACACACACACACACACACACACCATGAAAAGCCATGTCCACTGTGTGGAGGCTATATGCGCTCTCCACCTCCCCTTGCTTCTCTCAATTTTTAAAAAGGAAACCTTAACGTGGTGGCGATTTTTGAGTCCACAGTGCTGGAGCTACTACACGTCTTGCTGGTCGTGAAATCAATTTAAAAGCGCAGTGTGGCTTCTTCTGCTCTTTCTTTTTAGATGTTTTTTTTTTTTTAATTCAAACGGGTTTTTTTGGTCCTTCTTTTGCTTTTCTTCTTGGGTGCTTCTTGCTACACTGTTAACCCGCATGTGCCCTTGCACTGTTTTGGATGTCTATTTGCTGTCACTGGTCTCAAGTCAGGTATGTCACACTAGTGAGGGCTTCACCATAAAATGGAGGAAGGCAGATGAGTATCCAAGGAGAGCCCTGGAGTCAGATAGGCAGGATCTCCCCCCACCTCCCCCCCCCTCACGCCAGAACAAAGGTTGTGTTTAGAAAAAGAAAGAAAGAGAGAGAAGGGGGGGTTAAAAAAAGAAAAGCTCGGCCACATCCTCTTCTTCCTCCTCTTCTGCTTCGTTTTCAGCTCGGAAGTTTTAGTCTAAGAGGAAGCAGAAGAACTCTAAAAAGTGAGGTTAGATCCTCCAGTGTGTGTGTTTGTGTGTGTGGGGGGCCTTTCGAGGTTAACTTCTTCATTTTTAACCCCTGGCTTGCTTGTTTAAGTCATCTTGATTTGAAAAACTTGCTTTTCAAATATTTCTTTATTTTTGCTAGAGATGTACTGCTGAGGCTTCTGGAAAGTGTGCGCTTGTGATTGGCTGGGGGGGAGCACATGGATGAGACAGGAATCCTAAGGCTCAATAATGCAGTGTTTTGACCATGCAAGTAGTTAATGTTCAACAAAAAGTGGAGTCAACACACACACACACACACTCACACATGCTCTCTCGCTCTCTTCTCTCTCTTCTGGTTGAGTGTGTGAGGGTGAAGTAATGACTGTCGCAAACAGTTTCTTAAAGGAAGTTCTCAAGATGATTCTTTTTTTTCTTCTTCTTCTTTTTTTACTCCGTGCTCTGGTCAGACGAGGGCTCAGATACTGTCATGAATGTGCTTTAAATTTTGCTCCCTTATGGCTTCCCCATAATTTGCAAAGGAAGCAGGAGCCTCCACTGTGCACGTTACTGTAAGGCTCTACAGACTTATTTGGGACTTATTTGAGATTCTGGGTCCTTTTGGAAAACTTATTTTAGACTTGCGATTGAGGTTGTTGGTCATTTATTAACAGCCTCTCGGTTGCAATGCGCTCCGCGTTCGCTCTGCAAGCCTTGGGTGACTTTTCACACATTATATCCAAAAGGTGTCTGTTGACCAGCCTGGCAGGAGAGTGTGGGGGTGGGGGTGGGGGGCTTGAAAGCTGTAGTGTGTTTGTCTGTGTGTGGGTAGACGTTCTGTGTATGTGTGTGACAGAGAAGGAGAGAGAGGGAGTGTGTGAGGTTGTGCTACGCTCTGCAGTTCCCCTGGCCACTGTGTGAAATCTTGCTGACAAGGAGACTGTGAGCTTGACACACTGTGCTGCGACAATGCCGGGGCTGAGAGGAGCAATCAAAATGGTGGCGAGGCTCCTTCTCCCCGGCGTGGCAGGGCAAACAGGTTCTCGAGGAGGAGCCAATAGAGGACAGAGACGGGCAGGAATCTGCTGCGGCGACACATTTGCCTCGCTGCAATGCAATGGATGCAGTCAGGTGGATGGTGGATGTTCTGCAGAAACAAGCCCCCGTGATCGCAGTGTTTTGTTCCCGCTCGGAGTGTGCTTCTCTTTGCACTTGCAGTTCCTGTAATAACTTTCACAAGTCTCCAGCACATTCGTGGCCTATTCGTACTACGCTGGCGGGTGACCTATAGTCATATACCAAAGCCCCCTGGACTGCGTGAGGGCCCCTGAAGTTCCCTGTAGGAATTTCTTTGTTATAATTCGGCAAATGACACTCATGTGTGGCAGTAACATATATATGTGCCACACATATGAATTAAAAACTGAACAACGCAGGGTCCTTAAAGTGGCTCCTGTATTTTTACATAGCCTGGAAGGCAACTATCTGTAACGCCCATAAGAAAATCAATCTTTCCTTGGGAAATATGTATTTTGTAAGTGGAAACTAGTGTGCTGGTAAACAAAATAGGCTTGGAATTTAGACTGTAAATAAGAGGAAACATCTTGTGCCCCTTTCCTGCTTGTATTTCTGAGACTAAACTAAGAATTTCACAGAGCCAGAATGCTCTACTCAAATTTGATCTTGGACTTTTCCGCTGCTCTGTTTAGTGTTTCACTCTTCTGCTCGCTTCGTGTCTACAAAAGCATTTCTCTGCTGGTGTAATCATCACCAGTGACGTACAGAAAACCTTGGGGCAGGGCTGTGTGGGAGCACATGTGTTGGGTCTTTGAGCTGCATGTTTCTGAATGATCTTCTAAGATTTAACTGAAGTCATGTGATGACACGAGCAGATGTGCACCATCATGTTGGACTGAAAGGCTATCGCTGAATGTCCCAATGCGCATTCCCTTCTTCCTGTTGTCTCACTCTTCCTGTTTTATTCTGAAAGTCCCAACCAAACGCCGTGACACTGTGACCTCCACTGCTCGATTACTGTTTGTTCTAAAGAGACTACACCTCCAGGACCTGTAGTAATTCCAGCGAATGTTGCCTTAATTTGCATTAAGTTTGAAGTGGAGAATGGCAGTTGGGCAGTGCTGTTGTTTGTTTAGTAATAAATGGTCTGAAAAGCAGATCAAGATCATCTCTGATTGGGTCCCCCTCTCACTTGTGACGTGGTGCAGCAGACAGTAGTGTTTTGGGTTTTATTTTATTTTTTTGATGGACCACTTTCTGTCTGACTGAATATTTGCATGTAGCGCACGCTCGTATCAAACTGTTTGAATTTTAGCGCGGCATAGAAAGAAAATTTTAATACTCAGTGTTACCATAGCTCAGCTTTAAGGTGGCGGGGGGAGGAATTACATAACTGGATTTGTTTGCAAGGTATTTCAGGATTATGTTAGAAAAGCTTGACAGAGAGGACGGAGGATCAAACAAGAGAGACTTCTGTGATGGTTTGAATGCTCGGAGGAAGTGGTCATGAAGCTCATCACCCCCCTCTACACACACACAAACACATATACATGCATACAGCTGCTCTCTCTCTCTGTCCTTCCCTCCCCTCCCTCCATCTCTCACTCACTCACTCACTCACACTGGGTGATGCACGTCTCCATTCTTCTCTACCTGGGGCACTGAAGAAGGCTAAGGAGACGCACAAAAGCAAATTGAAATGCTCCAGTGAGTGCTTTCTTGACGTGATGCATGGCTCACAAGATGCAAGTGTAGCAGCAGGGCCAGGCTGCAAGTGTAGATCCAAAACACCACAGTCATCACAGCACAGCTGCAAGGGGGGAAAAAACCCCTCACTATTTTCTCCTGACCTTCCTGCCTTCATAAGTAGCCACCAAACACATGCATGCTCTTACAATATGCCCAAACCTGCTCTGCCCATCTGAATAATTTAATGCTGTTTAACTGTAGCGGGTATATTTGAAGAACTAAAAGGCAATATCATGTCAGGGTTTAAGTGGAACAAGGAAGTAGCTTCTTAGAGGTGTCATTCCAGTTTCTGTTGTCAGTTGCGACGTTATACTGCTGCAAAACTGGTTCCTCCTCTCTGCTTTCCATCAGAACATCAACAATTCAACTGTGTCCCGAGGAAGAGAAAAAAATGCTTGTGTAGCTCAGTGAAGCTTGCAGTTGTGCCCTACCTTTATCTAGATCTGCTGATCTTTTCAGCGTGCATATTTTAGGCGTGTGAGGGACTCGTTTTGTTGAAATTCAAAGTCTAAAGTGGCCGTGCTGAAGAGACAGCTCGTCTGGTGGGATAAATTAAGCAGTCTACACGGCGTCCTCAGGTTTCCAGCCTAAATTCAGGATTTGTGCTGTTCTCTGCTAAGACACAGTGAACCAGCTCTGTCAGTCTCGAGCTGCCTGTGGTGGGGAGGAAAAAAAAAAAAGGAGAAAAAAATTCTTTGGAGACGCCCGTTCCTTGGGCAGTGTGGTGCCACCAGACAAGGCCTTCATTGAGCAGAAACAGGAGTGGTCTTGTAGATGGGATCCACAGTGGCTCAGCCTCCGAAGCAACAGAACTGTCCAAGGACGATTAAATATTTAAGAGCTTGGAAAGGAGGTCTCAGTGGTAAGTTAATATTGATGGGTCTCATCTTTCCCTTCTCAAACTTGTTGAGTTGACTCAAGAGGTTGGTTTAGCAGGTCTGGAGAGGAACCTACCTTCTTTTCTTCTTAAAAAACTTTTAACCTTCACAGAGTTTGTTTGCAGTGTTTCCTGCAGCTGACTTTTGAATTTTTCTGACACCCCCCCCTTTTTTCAGCTTCTTCCTGTGTCCTCTCATGGTCACTGTGAAACACTCCATCCTGGCTAGCTTGTAACCTCACCCAGTCCTTGTAACTGTAGTAACTGCCATGTCAGGCTTACAAGGAAGTCAGCATTGCAAGCTTTTCTGGCATTTGTCCACTGAGCACTACTTACAAGAAACCCTTCAGTGCATCTTGCAGTCCTTTCATGTAATCCTTTCCCCCCCTTTCCTTACTTTTTTTGTGAATTGGGTGAATAGAATACAACCAAAAGGCATTTTGATGTGTAAAATGGAAAAACAGGAGTAAAATTCCTGTTGCCTCCAGCCTCAGCCTCCAGCTGAGGGTAATTTTCCTGACAGTAAGTCGGCATTTCAGTTATACTAAACATTTCCCTCGATTGTAAAGTTTGGTACCTCAAGAGCAAAACTTCGGGGTCATTTATGGACAATTTTTGTGAGATGATGCCGATTTATCTGAGACAGCAGTGGATTGATTTACGTCAGGAAATGGTTTCCTAGGAGAGATGGGCTTCAAGGCTGCACGGAATGCAAGGTTTCCTGGACCTAATTGTCCTTGTGGAAAAACACTTCCTGGTTTCTCTCCAAGATCTGTCCTTCACTTGCCCCACTCTTGTTTGTTTAGCCCATGAACCCTTATGTTTCACTTTGGAGAGATCTGACTCAAGCATGTCTTCAGGCTCATGTGTCTGACTTATGTGTTGTGTGCAGAACAACTTCTTTTTTTTTTTTTTTTGCTCTAGCCTACTTGTGTACACCACATCTTTTGTCAGGATTTTTTTTTCTCTTTAAAGCTCAAGGGAAGAAACCTCTCGAGAAAACCAAAAATATCTACTTATTCCCATATAAAATTGTAAAAATAATCACGCCTGAGGCTATTAATTAAATTGTGCACTTAATCATTTTTGGATGGAATATTTAATCGTGTTGCTGAGGGTTGCCCCAAGTTTTCCTCTCTTATGCTTTTCAGTGTAGAAAAGAAGCTCTAACCTCTTTCATGGAAATCTTGATTAGACCACGTTAGGTCGCCCATATAAGTATGATGTCGCTCGCAGAAGGTTCAGGACGCGACATCGCCTCTAAAGTGTACTCGACCGGGCGGTCAAAGGAGCCACGTTTTAGATGCACGACAATCAGATCTGGGCTCTTGTCTTCACCCTCGGAAGAACAGCAAAAGGCAGGTTCGCAGGAGGCCATCTTTGCAGTTCACAAAACCACGCTTTTCACTTCTGCTTTTCTCGCTGACTGCAATGACAGCGTGCAGAGGAACCGACAGGAGGGGAAGCAGCTTGCTCAGGTCTGCGCTCTTAAAGTTAAACACTTCCATCTGTGTAACAAGATAGCAGAGCAAGCAGAGGCAGCTCCACTCAGCTGAGCAGGACAGTCAAAGACCTTGAGGAGCACAAAATGGTGGATGGCCATACCACTGATTCTCCAGCGTGATTGGCTGCGTGTCTCCTTGGCCACTGTGGGGCTGGCTGTGTGAAATGGAGTCCTCTGTGCTGAGCGTTGGCCCAGCCTCAGCTCTGATGCAGAAGATAATTCTGTCAGCCTCGAGAGAGAGAGACGAGAGAGCAGCCAAGTGAGGTGACTATACTAAAAGAAGGCAGAGGACTCGAGCCATGTTTGTGTCTGCTTGCTTCTGTTTCTTATCTTCTAATCTGCTGTCCTACTTGATCTCCCGGGTTCTGATTTCTATTAATAGCTATTTAAAAATATATATTTTGGTGCTTTTTAGCTTTAAACAGACCTGTAACAGGTTAGGAAGGAATCAGTTGGAATTTATGTTTTGGCTTCGTTTGTAGGAATGAAGAAAGTGTCTGTGTAAGAGTGTTCGGTATCTCGGTATCTAACCTTCACACCCAGCAGGCTCAAGCTGAGGGATTTACCAGACCCTTGTTTTGCTGCTTTCAGCCTTGAAGGTCACATAAATATCTCTCAGGCTCGTGATTAAAACGCAAATTCACGAGATTTAAAAGAGTGTCAGCGCTGCATATTAAGTGGACTTGTATTTTTTTTTCTTATTGGTTAGTTTTCACCATGACAACCTGAAGACGGCAGCCTCACAGCAGATAACCATTAATGCTTGTCCCTTCCTAATCTGCTCGGTCATTATCATCTGTGCAAAAAAAGGACCAAATGTTGCTACTGAGTGCTCTGCAGTCGTCCTCCTGTTCAGAAGGAACAATCTGAGCCCTTTGCTAAGCACAAAGGCTACCCTTGGTGCAAGGTTACTTGTACCATGATGGCCAGCTGCTTCTTCTTCTTCTTCTTCTTCTTCTTCTTCTGCTTTTTTTTTTTTTTTTTGTTCAAATGCAGCTTTAGAGAGACATGGATTTGGCAAGTTGGATGTCTTTTGATTGACAAAGGGAATGTCTTGCTTTGCAAAGTAAGTCTATATAGAGGTCAGCAAGTACACTGATGTTAAATGGAAAAGGCCAAGTGACTGGTGATGGGTGATGTCAGGTAACGTGTCAGAGAGACAGGCTGATCCAGGCGCTGTCTGACCTTGTATTATACATGACTGACATAAACTAGAAAGTAAAAACGGGAAGAAGAAAAAGTATGCTTGATATTTTTTTTATTCTTATTATTGAGTCTGCATTTGAAACTGTTTTCGTGGTTCAGTTTATGTTTACTTGTTCTTGGTCAAGCTTTTTGCTATAAATGTGCATGTGTTTGTTTGATTTTTTTTCCTTCTAGTTTTTTTGAAAGAGAAAGTTATTCTGGGCTCATCATAGCATTCCAACTAGGTGCCGTGCTAAGAGAATTCCAACTTTCCTCTTTTTGATGTGAGGATTTGCTTGAAGGCTTCAGTCACTCAAATACTTTGAGGTCCAGAGATCAAAATCTCTGGACTGGGGGGGCGTTGCTGACATTTATTACAAAGGTGGCGTGTCTTCCTTTTGTTTAATGTCTTGACCGTGTGGTGAGTTGGGACCAGATGTTGTATTCTTGAGTTTCCTCTTTCAGCACGATTTCAATATAAATGTGCAGGCCAGTATTAATAATTGTATAAAAAAAACTTGTTCCTCCAGTTTTATTGTTCAGAGTTGGTGCATTATAACTGATACGGTGCCGCTTGCAAAAAAGTTAACTAACTTGTGGTTTAGAAGTAAAACTCACAGAGGGAAAATGTGAAGAAGCCACTGAATAACATCACAATTCGGGCTTTTGCAGTTTTTTAACGTTGTTTGCTCTTCTTTAGTTACACAGATATCATGCTGTATTGTGATACTATTGTAACTGCGTGCAGTGTATTGCAATAGCAATCAGTTTGAAGAGCAGTAACGATTTTCTAAACCTTTATCAACTGACACTAGAAAAACATATCTTTGTGTTTCATTTGGTTTCCCTTTAGTCATCTTAACGGTATGGCGGTTAGCCTACATGATCTTCTCAGTTACCCAGAATCCTTAAGGGTTGCCTGATCCTGCTGCGATGAGTTGTTTCTCTTTTACGCCCTTTGAATGTGACACTCGTGAAGGTCAGGCTGCGGCAGATCAGCAAAGCTTGCTGGATTGCAGCGTCTGAGAGGCTCTGCACCTGCATTTAGCAGTCTCTCTGACACAAACCAGGATTACTGAGCTGGATGTTCACAAAAATCTTCACTGCTTTTCATTCATTCTGCTCAATTGCAGTTAAAGTTTAGACACAAATGACTGCTGTTTGTCTATGCAAAAATGGGCTACTTCTGCTTTGTCTGCTGTTTTTGAGACTTGTGCTGATGTACGGTCCAGTGTTGCTTGTGTTCATTCTGATTAGAAAAAGCTGATTTTTTTCCAATGTCAAAATAGTGCAGTTAATAAGCATAAAGAGCCTGCATGCTAAAAAAGTAACGTTTCAGATGGGGGGGAAAAAGGTAAAAAATTAGATGAAGGTTTTCTCTGAAACACAGCATAGATGGATGTCATGGAAGGAATTATAGAACCATGAGGACCACATGTAGATCAGGTCATCTTCCTATGATGGACACTTATAAAGAGGAAGCGCAAAAGGAAAAACTACCAAGAGGCCAGCAGCAAGCTAAAAATATCTGAAGGACTATATAGCAGAGTCTGTCCACAACATGCAGTTAGCAAGAGATTCATGTGTTCTGCACACTTCTGAACTCTCTGCGGGGCAGCGGCATGAAGATTTCTCTTCTCCAAAAGGCACATTTTAATGTTGCAAGCATGTGGTTAATTCCCATGACAGGAAATGGAACTTGTGGTCCGATGAAATCAAGGTTGAATGTTTTGATCTTACTCGCCAAATATGGAGGAGTGGTACGTTTCAGAGTGCAGGTCAAAACCTTTATACAGCTGTTGTGTAGATGGAAGAGAGAATAAATTCAGAAGATTTTGAGAGAAAATGTAAATAGAAATATTTATCATGACTCTGACTGAAAATATTCCTGGGGTCTTTGGAAAAAACGGACTTTAGGAAGGCAGGAGAATCTCAGTCTTATGTTGGCGGACATTACGTGATAGTAGTCATTATCAGCTGCTGGTCAAATCAAACCAAGTAAGGCTGAAGAATGTCTTTGGTCAGAGAGATGCTGTTTAGCTGGTTATGGTTGATATATATACATATATATATATATTATTTATTTATTTATTTTTGAATGCCATATACCTCCTGAAACAGATCTCTTCTCAGATTTTACGCCCAGCATTTTTATCAGCCACAATGGTGATTATGGTGTTGTTTTCAGGCTTTGGTGTTTAGGGCTCTGTTGCAAAATGTAGCCCAAAAGAGCCAGAACTAGTAGAAAGGCCACTCCTGGGTACTTTGGCATGTGTTTATAGGTCTGTGTGCCTGA